CTGCATCATTGCGGTTGTGTTCCACATAATACCCTACCATAAAAAACAATAGGTAGTAATGAATAGTTGTACATATGCATTTAGAAGCTTGTGGAGTAGTGGTCGGAGGCACCCTGCAACACACACATGAGACCGCTTCCCGTAGCATAGGTTCACCAAGCATTCCATTCCTTCGGGATGATCAAATTGATATCAGACTTGACTGGGAAAAAAACAGAACTGGCTCGATACATCTGTTGGCACCACGAGTTACTGTAAAGGCCAGATTTGCATTCAACCACTTTCAAACGATGCTTAATTAGTGCAATCGAATGCATGGCGCATCCCACAAGGATTGAACAACGCCGGAAGCGTTATCCTTTATGATTTTATGTACCTCATCCTAGGATCGACTTTCAATTAACTTCGGCATTGGATTATAAATGCGTCATTTTTTTGTTTAGCAATCACCAAGTTGTTACACAGCATACATTTACATCTGCACAAAAACACGTTGTATCACTCTCTTCAGAGCCTGGAATGGTGGACTGATAAGCAGTTTACTGCCTCAAACTCTCCTATGACACAAACAGAAAGATGGAAATCTATATAGCAATCACACGCTCAATAGCTGCTCGAAAAACTCACCGTTTTACGTGTCTTCCACTGAGGAAGCACCGCTGATTAAAGTCGTGTATGACTGATGACTGCACCACCCCACATCAAAAATCGATGCGACGATACGAGGTTAAATCGTGTGCAATCTCTGGGAATTCTTCCTTGCTACTCATTGTAAAATTTTTGGCATTTATCCAAAAATCCTCGAAGAGTTTGCGTGTTGGTGTTTTGGCATCCTGTGCGACGACAGTGATTTTTATACCAAAATCGTCTCCGCCATGCTTTTGTGTCCTAAGCGTCCCTAGCAGTGTGCCTTGTCTTGCCTTTCGTTTCCTATTTAGGTGTTCTTTTATGCTGGTACATAAAGGCTTACCCGTTTCGCCAATATATTCTTTTCCGCATGTGGTGCGAGAGATCAGGCAAATCGTACCTGAGCTCATTCAATCACCGTGCCTGCCACAAGGCCGAATTGCTCAATTTTCTGTTTCACATAGACAGTAATATAGGCGGTTACGAACCAATTGACGACGAAGAGTAACCGGTGCTATTCTACCATCGCGACTGATTCCTCTAGGCCTACCCTTCCTAAATATCGTTTTATATCTGCACTTAATTCAACGCTAATGAAGGGCACCAAAAAGAGGACATTTTTTAAGCCAGGTATTTCGTTTTGGGACGTCGCTCTAGCCATTGGAGATGACTATTTCCCAAGCGAAGTTGTATTATTCTTCCTTCATTTCCTTCATCGTGCACACAAAGGTAGCTTTTCGCAACATGTTTCTCACTATCGCCCTCTTTATGTGCAAAGAATGGGAAAGAATGAATAAACAAGGATCTTTTTACTACTTGATTTCGGTACCATTTTATCATCTAAACGCTATCTGACAAGTTTATTTGAACAGCAAGAAATGGGAGCCAATTTTCTCTCGGTTTCTCCCGGGTAAAAGGAACTACTTCGAGCGGCACTACGAAGCAAGCAGAACGAAATGTTCTCCAAAATGAAAAAATGTTTGTTAAGACAAAGAAGAAGTAACGAAGGAACATTTCTGTGCTTTGTATTTAGAGGTTCACCCTTGGACGAGAGTAATTAGTGGGTTAATATTGATGTGCAATAATATTAGGTCTAGTGCCAAAATAAGCTTACAAGGAAAGTTCTGGAATCCTCCAAGTAATTCACATATTTCGGCTTCAAGAAACCATAAACGAATTGTTTACGCTTTTGATAGCAGTCAAAATACGGTTGGTAATGAACCAAGAAAATTTAGGGTCACCGTACCTGGGGCACGACCATACACGAGAACGCGGGCTTACTTTTAGAACTGCGCGCAATTTTTTCACCATCGCAACCCATTTCTAATGCAACCATACGTAGGATCGCATGCAATTATGAGTTTCAAGATGGATTCCGCTACCATACCAAAAAGAAAATGTCGAGTAAAAATGGAAATGAAGAAGTGGCGAAATTACCACCCTCTCCTTTTCTTAGAGCGTTTTTTAGAAAGCATGACCCTAACGTGGGAGTTTATACGAGATTCCGCATGTTTTGCAGACGATCTACTCAAAACCCTAAATCATTTTCGCGGTACAAAGTTTGTCTCTAAGCTTACAGCCGCACAAAAATGTGGATTGCGAGAGATTGCAGATTTGATTAATTCAAAGACCATTAGATTCTCAATTAGTGATAAGGGGGGAGAGTTTGTGGTTATTCCTCACCAGTTGTTTGTTAAGATAACGAAGAAACATCTTGGTAATGTTACCCCTTATTGCCCATAATCTGAAAAGAAATACCATCGGCTATTTTGTATTATAAAATAGATAGACCAACATGTGCCGTCCTATACTTGCTTACTAAAACACATAAGTTAGCATCAGCTGATGATCTTGCGTCAAGCAATCCATCATCCAATAAAGTTAGACCCATTATCTGCTGTGTAAACAGACCTATGTATGAAAAAACGTGGTTTTTAAGCCAAATACTTACCCAGTTGCTTAACCATATTTCGGCTCACCTCATGAACACCCTAGAACGTCTACGTAACGCGTCTCCTAACTCATGCGTGATGGAGTATTTCGACGTTTCCGCGCTTTACACCAACGTATCGAATGACTCCGCAATGGAAGCCATCCTTGAACTTCTTGCTGAACATGGAGGATAAATATGCATGACTTGTGCATTCAGCAACATGGCTGTCTTCAAAGAGCGCCTAAAGTGCTCGATTTCCAGATGCTGTGGGGAAATATTACCCCAAATTAGAGGGTTGGAAAAGGGACAGTGGCTGGCACCAGATCTCGCCATTGTGTTCGCGTGTAAAATAAAAGCCCCATCATCGATCTCCGGCTCCCACTCTCTGCTATCGATGATCGTCTTGTCATCTTCTCCACTCAGAAGGAGATGGAGAAAAGCTTTGAGTTGTTGAATAAGTAGTCAGAGTGCATTGAATTCACCTGGACGAAACAGGTGGAAAATTGGCTTCCATTTCTTGACGTCCAAATTAACTTATCTGATAGTGGTCACATGACAAAATGGTGCTGAAAACTGGGTAATAAAAACATCCTTGTTCATTTCCTTTCTTCCCAACCTTCACAGGCAAAGTGGGCGATAGTGAGAAACATGTTTCAAACAGTCACCTCTGTGTGCATAAGTAGGGAACTATAGCTAGAATCGCGCGCCTTGGCTCGGCAAATAGCCATCCCCACTGGCTACGAAATAGTAACCCTATGAGATTAGTTTACAAGGAAGGCGAAGCACCAGAAATGCTTGTTCAAAAAAAATCCTCTTTATGCGAGTTTTCGTATGGAAGTAATTGCATGCTGTATAACAACCTCGCGATTGCTGAACAAGGATACGACTCATCTATATGTATCTGGGTTGCACGTTAACGGTCGAGTTTCTTGCTGAGTGCTGTTTCAAGCTGGCATACTGCCTTGAGAGTTTTTGAACAAAATTTCTCTCTCTCACTTTCAAAATATGTTTTTCCGACGCCCTTGTGAACACTTTCTCATACGAAACCCATAGAAAACTTCTTGAATTGTGACTTACGATAGATACTGCCTCGTTGACTTGGAAAACACGATGAAATATCATTAAATCTTTATGTCTCTAACGATTGTTTTCTTCGGCTTCCGTGCGACTTCTTTTAGCGCGCGTGAGGCTTACCGATTTCAATATCGACACAGCTTGATGGTAGATGGAAAGGTAATAAGATTGCAAAAACGATCGTAAAGAGTCAGACGTTAAGGGTGACTAATGACTAGAAGGCCTTTGGACTAATGGAAAGTCTGAATTAACCGCGTGTTCCGTAAAGCAATTCTCCTGCTCTGTCATATCATATGCGTGAGCCCTCGGCGAGTCGGAAAAGTACAATTTGGAAAGAGCGTTTTCGTAAGAATCTCGTTTGCTGACTAATCTATTTTGCAATATACGTGGCCATAATTAAGTTACTCTTCTTCAAGGAGATGTGAAGATCGACTTGAACGGTAATCGACGAGTTTCCGTTCCTTAAAATGGTAGCATCCTCTTCACGGTTACAATTACTTCACAGTCACCGTCGAGATGATATTTATTGAAAAACCGTCTGAAAAGGGAGAGTCCGTTAACAAAGAAGCAGTTGAATTTTTTCCGATTGATTGTAAAGTACCTCCTTCCAACGGTTTACCACCTCATTTTGGCTGGGAGGTGTTCCTGGGTGTCGAGCTGCGCTGTACAGCGGGTACTCTTCCTCTAGCAAGGTCCGCCAAGCTGAGAAGGAGTGCAGCGTTTCCATGAGGAAGTCTAGCTAGGAGTAAACCAATGCCAGGATCCACCGTCTTGGTATCAAAGTCGCATGGTGGCGAATCTTCATCTGATCCACAAGGACTGCGACTGCACGTGATGATAGACTTTGGCCCTGACCTCAGGATTCCAGGAAACCACAATGGCTTAATCAGTAAATCTCCGATAAATGGTGATTATACTGGGGCCCGCACAACCAGTGAGGACGGGCCGCTCAAGTGTTAAGTGCTAAGTTTATTTCAATGTAATTTATGCGAATATCGTGTGGAAATAAGTACATGTGGTTTTCAAAGACAAAATAACCACAAGGGTGCTGAGATATTTGCAAAACTCCAGACCGCAGTTGTCCGCGGTAGGGAAGGAACGCGCTATTACCCTTTCAGGTGTCTTACCACCACACCACGCGGGTCCTTCGTTTCGCCTGTCTCTCGGCTAGTCTTTCGCAAGTAATAATTTTTTACAAATACCTCAGCATTACTGTGGTTGTATCACACATAATACCTCGACGTGAAAAATTGTAACAGGCAATAAATAGAAAGTTAACATTGTGATTTCGAACACAGAAAATAGCTGGTGATAATGATATTTATAGAAAGAGTAGCAACTACATTGCGGCTTCAAGAGAGTCGAATCATGCCATGCTTGCTTGAATCGAATCTGAAAGTTGTTTGAAGACAAAACAGGTGACGTCTCCGACGGTTTGCTGACAAAATTCTTCAGTATTAGCGATGTATGAGAGATCGGCACGAGCACAGATCACGTTGTATCTGAACGCATCGGTTTGTCCAATGCATCTAAGTCGTTAGAAGCATGTAGTATCATCAAGGATATCAACGCTATCAACACACGTTTATTGAAAAGAAACCGAAGAAAGTATGTTTATGAACTCGCCATGGCTATACTACACCTCACCTCTATGGGCTCTTTGATGTCTTAATCAATTGTGCTTTATCTCTACTAAAATTATAATGTGGTATTTTCTAGTCGATGTTTTAGCAGGAGCTCTATTCCAGGCCAAGACCTTCCGTGAGATACGAATGTCCATTAAATTATTTTTGACTGCAATTTCGAATTAGAGGAAATCCCTCAACTTAAAAACCCTTCGAAATAGAAGAATTCCGGCGGCATGATAGAATGTTTTCGTAATCCTCAACGTAAACACGTGTAGGTACCAGATTAACATCTGCAGCTCGCCCTTTAGATCGCTTAAATCTTGCGTTTTCACCAACCATACAGCATTTTCTACCGTACGAAAGTGTTAGACATCGCCCTTTGAATCGTTTAAATCTTGCCTTTTTACCAAACATGAGGGATTTTCTCCCGTAAGCAAGTCTTAGATAATCTTCTACAGTTGTGCTTACTTGACCAGCTAACGTCGTGAAATTCGTACCTCCCATTGAGACGCCTTTCGGTCTCGGCCAGAATCTGACGCTTTGATACGGCTGTCATGCGATCAATGTTCTGTAAAGAAAATTGCCGGCCTGCTTTTATTCGCTTTCGATTGGGACAGACTAATTAAAGTGCTGCTTCATACTTCGATTATAATAGCTCTCAAATCCTCGCTGTTGCACGTTGCATCGATCTTCACCACGTGGTCTGATGTGTCGCGTTTTTCTCGACTTTTCTTCCGCTCCTGAATTTATCACCCTTTTTCAGCGTAGTCTTTGCAATTAAACTATATACATCCACTGTGTTGGACTATTCAACCTCAATTCGATGCTTTTCTTCAATGAGCAGACACGAGGTTGTTATTATAGGATTTATTAGGGTACAGTAGCTGACGTTTCGGCAGTTTCGCCTTCTTCAGAGCCCGAAAAGGTCGAATTGAGATGCCATCTACTCAGCCAAACACTTTCAAAACCTCAGGAGATAGAACTTAACAAATAAATTTGTATTCGCATAAGAAACAGCTTCATTTAAACACCTACCGTTTATTTGTTGTAAGTATTTAAGTTAGTTGATGGATAGCGGCCGCACAGAGTAATACATGGGCGAGGACTGTGCCTGTGTCAGGTCATTGGATTAGCCTGAGGGATGGGGCCAGGTCACGCGTGATGACAAGACACTCCTTGCGGTTCAGTTTTGAATCTTTGGAATTGATCCAAAACGCTTCAATGTTCCTGCATCCTATGCGCGTCTAGTGGAGTGTTTTGTTTTAATTTTGATTTATCGACTAGGTGTTCTTTTATGCGGACGCAGAGCGGTCTACCCGTTTCGCCAACGTATTCGTCCCCGCACGCTTTACAAGAGATCAGATAGACTGTAGCCGAACTCATGTAATCACCGTCTCTACCGTCAGGGCAAATTATGCCGTTTTCATTGTACACAGACGGTCATGTAAGCGGTAGCGAACTAACTGGCGTCTTAGGGTGTTTGGTGGTATTTCTATCACTCTTATGGAATTCTCTAGACCGGACCTTGTCAAGCAAAGTTTTATGGCTGAACTTATTTCGTTTGAAATAAAGGGCAAGAGGAACGAGGCCTCGTTTTCGCTGGAATTATCGCTCTGAGGCGTGTGTTTTCCTCTATGCCTTTGCCGAGAAGCTACGGTCTCGTTACCATTTGAAATGGCTATTTGGTGCACCAGTTTCGAGGATTCTTCCCTCCGCTCTCTACCGGTGCACACGCTGGGTTCGAAACAAATTTCTTATAAGCGCTCATTGATGCGCGATAAAGAGATGCGTCTTCAAGATGTTTTTTCGTTATATCAACATCTAACTGGCGAGGAATTACTACAAACTCTCCACCCTCATCACTAACTGATAGCGAAGAACCAAACGACGAAGTCGATATGAAATTTTGCATATTTTCAAGCGAAACTCTCAAAATCCTTGACCACTATCGCGCGAAAAAGTTTAGTTCGAACCTCACAGCTGCTCAAAAATCTGGTTTGCGACAGGTTTGAGAGCTAATAAAATCAAAGGCTATTACATTAACGCTTTGAAGAAGGCCTTTGACTCAATGCTCTTCTTCGATAAACAGACACGAGGTTGTTATTATAAAATTTATTAGGATAGAATAGCTAAAGTCGCCCATGTTTTAATCTGTGCGGCTGATATCCACTAGCCAACTTAAGTACTTACAACAAATAAACGGCTCTGAAAAAGGCGAAACCGCCGAAACGTTAGCTATCCTATTTTAATAAAATCTATAATAAAAACCTCGTGTCTGTTTATTGAAGAAAAAGGTCGGATTATCAGTCAATGCCTAGGTTAACAGAAAGTCGGTTTTGCGAATTATACAACCTCAATTTTACACACTCTTTGCGCGGTGCTTTCACTTCTTTTAAACCGCTCCACCTTCTTGCACATGCAAGTATCACAACATCCTGTCAGCAACATGTGTTAACTGTTTAAGCACCGTGCTCATTGATTTCCATATGTATGCTGCTGCACGTTTCGGACCGTAATCTCCACCTCAATGAGCACAATCTTTTCAGCCCTCTTTTCGCCATACTGAGCTTTTTTGCCAGATTTTCGTAGTCAATCAACAGCTTGTCGAACACAGATGCTTTGCCGGTCCATGGTCCATAGATGTTCTCAATGTACATACTTGCCAAAAGACGTTTTTGGACAATTGAATTGAATCGGTGGCAAGAAAAATGGAAGAGACACAGAACTACACTTTAACTAGCATACAGAACCGTTAGGAAAGCTAATACCATCGTGGTTAGATAGTGGACAAGTTTTTTCTTCATCACATCCAAGAGTTAGGCTACACACCAGAGTTGTTCACGAATATGGAACATACAAGACGAACATAGCGGATACGTAGAAGTAACTGTAACAGTACAAACACTGTAATTATCTGAGGAAATCGAGCAGTAAAACAAAAATCTCACAAAACCAGTGCACTCTGCCTTTTCCAAAGGCTCAGGGACCATCTTGGACTCAACGCACATGTCTATCTTGTTTCAAAATACCGACTTTCTATAAACCTCGGCACAGATAATTGATGTATTTATTTATATGATCCAATAAACTGATCTTCTTTAGCTGATGTGAGGTTGGTATAGGTCTTCGCTATCGTTGTCGTTGTTGGTGTTGTTGGTCGATGGCTGACGTTTCGGCGATTTCGCCTTCCTCAGAGCCTGGACGTGTTTTGTATTAGAATACTTTAATGGTTCGGTGGGAAAAAGGCTAAAGTATTAACGAAGGTCAAATTTTTATATAGATGGTGGGCTAGGATGCTACGGTCGAATGTAGTTCTAGGCCATATTGAACGAAAAGGCTAGTCACCATGATGTTACTAGTGGGACTGGCCCACGCGTTGTTTTCGTGGAGTCGCGAGCAAGACACACGCCGGGGTCGAAACATCATTTTGAAATAGGACGCCAGGTCACTTGTGACAGTGAGGTATTCGTCCTTCCGGTTCATCTTTGGATTTTTGAAATTTATCCAAAACGCCTCAAGAGTTTTGCGCGTTGATGTTTTTGATTCCTGCGCTAGGATCCGCACATTCACTTCAAAATCATCGCCGTTGCCTTTTTGTACCCTATGTGTACCTAGAGGAGTGTTTAGACAGATTTTAACTTTCCCATTTAGATGTTCTTTTATGCGGACACAAAGTGGTCTGGTCCACCCGCTTTCCTAATATATTCCTCACCGCACGCATTACATGAGATCAAGTATATAATACCCAAACTCATGCAATAACCGATGGCGTAGGGTATTGGGTGGGATGTCAGTAATGGCTACATAATTTTCAAGACCACTGTTTTTTAAGCACCTCTTAATGGAGTAACTTGCTTCATTTGATATGAAGGGTAGCTTAAAAAGGATATTGCTACCCTACTTTTTTGTCTAACCAGAGTGGCTTCTACCTCGTAGCCATCGGAAATGGCTATTTTTCGTGGCAGATTTAGCGACTCCTTCCTTTCCTCTTCTCCTGTGTACACATTTTTAGCCGTACAGTTCATCTTTTTGATAAGTGCTTTTTTCATGTGTGAAGGATGAGAGGAAAGGCAGTGAACTAGAATGTTTTTACTACTTGGCTTGCGATACCATTTTGTTACATAGCCGCTTACTGAGAGCTTTATTTGGATGTTTAAGAATGGAAGCCAGTTCTCGGTAGGTTTTTCTCGTGTAAATTTTATATACTCTGATTGTCAGTTTCATAATTCAAAGCACTCATCCATCTGTTCTTGTGTGGAACAGACGATGAAACAGTCGTCTACGCATCGACAGTAGAGTAAGGGTCGGTGATCGAGAACTGGAGCTTCCACCTCAGACATGTAAGCGATGGCAAGGCTTGGTGTTAAACACTGTCCCGTGGCCAATCCTCTGATTTGTGCAAAATATTTTCCAGACCACCTGAAGATTGAACAACTAAGATACTTCAATGATGCTGAGATATTTACAAAACTCCAGACCGCAGGTCTATGCAGTGGGGAACGAACACGCGCTGTTGTCCTTAGCGGGGAGTAGCGCACTTCACCACCACACCATCCGGGTCCTTCGTTTTGTCTGTCTGTCAGGCTAGTTCTATCGATCTTTCGCCATCAGCAATCACCCGTCAGCGGGTTTGATCTGGGTGGCCCAAATCGGCAACGAGCGCTGTTAAGCTAAGGCCGCAGTTATAATCACAATTTTAACTTATTATTTACTGCCTACTCTTTTTAACGGCAGGGTATAAATTGTGAAATATAACTTCAATGATGCTGAGTTTGGTCCATCTGCGGTCTGGAGTTTTGCAAATATCTCAGCATCATTGAAGTTATATTTCACAATTTATACCCTGCCGTTAAAAAGAGTAGGCAGTAAATAATAAGTTAAAATTAAGACGCTGTTTTAAGAGAGTCATTAGTTGCGCAATCAGCAAACAGTATATTTCTATCTTCTTTTCGTGCTCTACGAGCACCTCGAGAATGGCTTGCATTGCGGAGTCGTTGGACACGTTGGTATAAGGTGAAGTAACATCGAATGACTCCATTACATGCGTGCTGTTTGGTTGCGCGCGCCGTAGGTGGTCTAGAAATATTTTGGTGTTAGGTAGATGGGTTGGGATGAATTTTAGCAACTCGGTCAGCATAAGGTTTAGGAACCACGTTATTCTCTAAGTTCGCTCGCCTATACAACTGATAATGGGTTCGTTGATGCAATATCATCATCAATTGTAGTAAGCTTATGTGTTTTAATAAGCGAGTAAGGGATAGTGCAAGTTGGATGTTCGCTTTTAAGTCGAGAAATAACTGAAGGCTCCAAACCCGCGGTCTTTGCCGTGTTGACCTATTCTTGATTTAATTTTCGCTATTGATTTCTATATTTCTTTTCAGAGGATATTCGATAGAGAGAAACAGCGTTGAAATGCTCCTCTGTTATTCTAATATCAAACTGACTAGGAACGTGAAGGACACGTGGGCCAGTCCCACTCGCAACTTCATGGTGAGTAGCCTTTCCGTTCAACATGGCGTAGAACTACATTTGACCATAGCATCCTAGCCCACCGTCTATATAAAAATTTGACCTTCATTAATACTTTAGCTTTTTTCCCACCGAACA